CGGATATTGGGGGACATTCTCACACGCTTAACGTTAAAAACACTTAATGTACTGAGACGGTGATATTAAAAGACCAAACTCCGAGTCAGTACACATCATATTAATAAACCATACTATGTATAAAAAAATAAGATGAGTCCAGAATATCAACGCAACGCGATTAATAACACGTTAAGCATTTTCTTCCCATAGAAAACCGTCATACACGAAAACGCTTAACGTGGCTCACTGTACTTGTGGCATGCATGACACATTTACACTTTTGCTTTACTGTTTGTATCAGTTAAATTTATTGCTTGGTTTCTATTGCTTTTTAGTACGGTGGCTGAGAGGGCTCAACACGCTGCAACAGAAGACAACGGATGCAAACAGAAAAAACCCTGTAAAATAAGACCATCTTTATCACATGTGCTAAAACACAACCAAATACAGAAACACACTCCAAATGTCCGACCAACAACGCAAATATCTACTGGACAGTGGTGTTTATTATTATTATTATTATTTATTGTTTGCGTTGTATTTGCAGCAGTGTGTTGTGAAACTGGTGTCTTGACTTGCTGCTGTTTTTCTTGTTTGCATGTTTTCTTCTGTTGCAGGACTTTGAGGTCTCTTGCCGTTTGCAGTGTGTTTTTGTATTTGGTTGCATGTGTGTTGTCAAACTGATGAAGATGTTCTCTTAATTTGCTGCTGTTTTTTACTGTTTGCATGTTTTCTTCTGTTTCAGTGCGTTGAGATCTCTCGTATTTTCGTTCATTTTTTTAAATGCATGAAACATTTTATGCAACTTTTAATAAATGGGTTGTAGGCTACAGAAGTTTAACATTGCTAGAAATTCAAAATATATTCAAACCAAGTTGTCCCAAATTTGAGGTTATCACAATTAAATTGAGGTTTCTTTATTTTCCTTACTTTGTCTGGTTTATAATTTTTTGGTTCATTTCAAATTTAAATATGAGTAAATAAACTTTAGTTGATTACTACGACAATATGTGCAGTTTCGGAAAAGGAGTGTTTCCATTGGCTACGTAATTTATGATAGCCAATGAGCATAGAGAAGGGAGTAATGCGTCATCAGATATTTAAATGAGCAGTGAACGACCTGCTGCTTCCTTATTAGTTTTGTTAAGTAGTGGTCGAGTGTTTCGGTGTAACAAATGCGGTAAAACATCTCTCATTGATTGATTGATTAAAAAATTTTGCCCACCTGTACACTACTGATTATTTAAAAATTATTTTTTTCTGGCATTCTATAAACATCAGGGACACACCAACCTGTATCTGATCTGTCTGCGCGTGTCTGAAGTTCGCTTCACATTTAAGGAGGTAAAATGTTTTATAATACCCAACATATTTAACATTTGGAGTTTCATCTTTAATGTTACAAGTGCTGTTTTCAAGTGTGTGTGCCTAAACTAGTTTTGTATCAAAAGAGATCGAGTTTAATTTATCCAGTGTAGGCCTATCTGTTAGGGATGTAACATTTTTGTATGAAGTATATACATGCAAATATTTCTTAAATCTATACATGCACGTGTGTATTTATATATACAAAATAATTATACACATATATTATGTGAACACAAACTTTTATTTTGGATGCGATTAATCGTTTCACAGCCCTAATATTATCTCATGCAATTTACATGTTTACACGCCATGACAAACAGAGGCGAACCAAACTTTCACTGCTCAGGTGAGACGCTTTTATTCCCCCCCCCCCCCTTCCTTTCTGTCTCGTAAACCTGTTTAAAATGAATTTCTTTCTCACACTGGACTCATCAGGTGCTCAACGCCTTCGCTCAGCTGGCGAGAGCCGAGGAGGACGTTACTAAACTCACGTTGGCTCATGAGTCGTCACTGGCTGAGTTGAACGAGGCCGTCACACACAGGGTACAGCATGAATCATGTTGTGTTTCTTTTCTCTGTACTCAACCTGACTGGTGTGTATTAATCTGTATTGTTTTCTTTCTCCTGTTCTCCTCGTTCAGGAGTGTCTGAGTGAGCAAGAGCAGATCCTTCAGGGAAAGATCTCCGTTCTGGAGGATGAACTCCTGAAAGCTCAGTCTCCGGACAGAGGAGAGGTTTTGGGACCCATCATGGAGGTGAGTATGGAGCACTAGGAGTGACGCTTAAAAATAAAAGGAGTCGTTTATCAAATTAATAGTCCAGACATAAAAATGGAAATAAATCCGTTCATAAATGGACAAATCGAAAACATTTAGTTAAACTGTTTAATTAATGCTTTAAACTGTTAAACAATTGTTTTCTGTTATTTAACAACTACATTTTAAAACATGAATCAAATAAGCCGTTTTAAATGTCTATTTATTCTATTTTTTTTTTATTAAATTGGATACTTTTAAACTTTAATTCATGTTTTAAAATTTTCTTGATTATATAATTTTTTTTAAAACCCATTAAATAAAGTTAAGTATCAATTTAATAAAACAGTTAATTAGTATTAAATGTACCTTTCACACTGTTTAACTCGTTTTAAAATCTAGTTAAATACTACGGTGATGCATTGCTGCCACATACATATTATTATTTCCCCTCAATTATGTCAATAACGAGATATTTATGTAATTAAAACGAGATATTTATGTGGTTAAAATGAGATTATGTCGTTAAAACGAGATATGTCAATAAAACGAGAAAATATGTCGTTTTAACGGCATAAGATCTCGTTATGACGACATAATTGAGGGGAAAAATATGCCTGTGGCAGCAATGCGTCATCGTAAAATATAATGGTTTTATTGATTTTGTTTTGTTTATTTAATTTACATTTTAAAACAAAGTTTTAATCTGTTTTATTTGATGAAACAAAATTAACTGTAAATTTAAGTGACATTCATTTGTTTTATTACATTTAAAATGAATGAACATTTAAAACCTTTAACTCACAATTTTTTAAATCTAGTTCTATAAACCATTAAATAATAATTGATGTACATTTTTTTTAAAGTCCATTTGTGAGATGGATTGCTCTTCAATTTAAATTTTACTTTTTAATCTTAATTTTTGCTCTTTACTAGTCTGAGTAAATCTCACTTCATTGCGTTTATTGTATAAAATGCTATGACTTAAAAAAATGAATGTCTTGTCTCTTGTCAGGTTTTGACTAAAATCGAAAGCCTCCAAACTCGCATTCTGGAACGGTCCGAGCAGATTTCCCTAAAAGATGAAGAAATCAGAAATCTGAGGAACGAGCCCGACTCTGTTGAGCGCGAGCTGAAGCTTGTGAAGGAACAAAATATTAAAAACAATTGACAGGTGGTCTATTTCCTCATTCACCATCTCCCATTTCTGCTGGTTCTCCTCCAGTTGTTGTTCATCAACAAGCCTCTTCTCCAGATCCTCCTTTGCCTGATGCAGATCAAGGATATCTTTCTCCTTTCGAAGGAAAAGCCCTTCCATCTCCTTCAGCTTTTGATCTAAAGAGCCCAGCTGATCGTCCTTGTTTCTCCTTGTAGGTTGCGCACCGTCTCCTCTAGCTCTCTGCGGAGATCATCTTCAGACTGTTTGGCCCTCAACTCTTGATCTTTCATCTCCTCTTGAAGAGAAATTACTTGAGCATCTCTCTCAGAGGCAAGAGTGGAGACCTGTTGGATTTTAGCTTGAAGTTCACTCACTGTTCTCTCAAGTTCCTCACGCTTGGCAGTCTCAAGCTCCTGAGCCTTTTCTCTAAGGCTTTCTTGTTGTTGAAGCTCATTTTGAAGCAAGAGAAGCTCAGCATCTTTCTGTGAAGCTGTAGTTGTCACGCCAGCCAGCTGGTTCAGAACAGAGGTCAGGATTTCCAGCGCCCCGTTGTGTTTGGTCTCTAGGACAGACATCTCCTGTCGTTTCAGTACTTCATCTTCACTGTACACTCTTAAAAGAGATCGAACCTTTGGGGTTCAAAAAAGAACTTTAAAGTGCAAAAATGAACTTCTAAATGTAAAAAAGGTTCAAAGTTGAACCTATAGGTTCTTTAATGATCCTCTGATTATTTGGCACATGTTGCCAGTTCATTTTAGAACCTTTGTTGTGGCAGAAGGGTTCATATAAGAACCTGGCCTGTTGTTAAGGTTCCTTTTTGAACCTCATAAGATGGACTGTAAAAGAATGATTGTTTTGTTTTTAGACCCTTGCTTTGCTAATAGCCCCTGAACATACAAGAATGAAACTTTTACATTTTTACACATTAAAAGTACTTGATCATTAAAGATGCTCCATAATGTTGTTCACCTATTCGTTTTAAAATACTTTGTAAGCAAAATTACACTCCTACACCCCTGCTTTCAAGTTGATAACATTGATTTTTTTATAGAGATGTCAAATTATAATTCAGTAAACATTACTCAAAAAATATTTCTGTAAATTGCAAAGTGACAAACCTTTGCTCTTATTTTTATTTTACAGTTCTCTTTTATTTATTTCTTTTAAGACATGCCTAGTCTATTGAAATGTCAGGCTATTAATTAATTCCTCTTCACACAAAACAATTTTCAGCGGTTCTTCAGTGGTTCTTTATGGTGGTAGAGGTGCTATATAGCACCACTACCATAAAAAGAACCAGTTCAGCCCAGTATGGTTCTATAGTGGTTCTTTGTATAGTCGAGGTCCTATAGTACCTCAACTATTCAAAGAATATTTTAAGGCCCTGTATGGTTCTTTAAAGGTTTTATAAACTGTCTTCTCATAGAAATTTAGAAATAATTGAATACAATAAAACAATTTATTTCCTGATGATGACACATTAAAGAAAAATAAATAAAAATGCAACAGAAAAAATGGATCTATCCGGAGCTCCCGAGAAGAAAAAACGTCTTCGTTCATTCAATAAGGAATGGGAGAAAAAAAATCAAAAGAAAAATCAAAGTGATGGTATAAAAATAAAGCATTTTTCATACAACTCATACAACTACACAATGAGTTTTAAATTCATAATTTAAAATTAATAATAAATACTTTAAATTGTCATATATAATGCTAGATGTTTTATTTAAATGCCGCGTAAAGTGTTCTGGTTTTAATGCGCGTGCGCGTAAACATTCAGTCACATTCAGGAGCGCGCGCGATCAGATGAAAACAAGGAAACATCAACTGACAAACTGCAAAAATAACTTCTCGCGCTGTTGATTTCGCTGCTTTCAGGTAAGTTTACTTAACATATAATAAATACAAATGTCCCTGACACCTTTCTTATGTGTAATTAATACACTTCTGTTGAATATTTACTTTATAGAAATGGTTTTGTGTCTTCGAAAAAGTCCGTTAGCATCACAACCGTTTTAAGAAGAGGTAAGTTAAGTTAACGTTGCACTGGACCTCTCGTTTTATATAAGTTTGGGGGGTTTTAACTACATCTTTGTGTTGATAACAGTTTTTGATAGTTTTGTTTTGCTGAAAATTTGTCAATGGGTGATTTGAAGTAAGCTAATTTATTTAACCTAAAATAATTCACTGTAACGTTACTGTTAATCAGTGACGTCACTCACAACAAAGGGGGGAATTATTTTTTAATCATGATTATAACTCCATATGATTTATTTCACAATATATATTACCCTAAGATATGTATATTAACTGCATTTCATCTCTGCTCGGTGCTGTAGCGTGCTTCATTGTAATAAACCCTATGTTCTATTGTAAATCCTATGTAACGTTAACCTTGTTGGCTCTGTGACACATTGCATGTTGTGTTCTAGAAGATCTTGCTGGTGGCCTGTTGCACCCCCTGTCCAAGAAAATCTCCACGGCTATGAACTCAACTAGTAAGCAAAACCTCAAACATACAGTGCACTACGGTTCAAAATTTGGGGGACTGTGGGATTTATGCTTTTGAATGAAGTCTCTCACTTTAAAATTATTAACCCCAGTTTTTTTCAGTGAGACTGTCCTTGAGAAACCTGTAGGCTAAATAATCAGCTAATATAATATAATGTTATTATACACATTATAATGTTATAATAGCAAATATAATGTTATAATAGTCATCATAGTTATAATAATTAATTTAACTATTATGATAACAGGATATCATGGTCATTGGTATATTTTATTTTATTTCTCTAGGTGTGTTTTTAATTATGTTGGCCAATGAGACAGACACCATACTGTCCAACTCAAAGGTATTTATTTATTTTTATGTATTTTTCACTGATAAATACTGAAATTCTTTAATTCAGGGGATCGTAAAGTAATGGCTATGCTCTTGTTACCAGATGAGATATAATCGTTTGCCCCTGTGATTCTTCAGGACAAGATCTTGATCCACATTCAGACATGAAGAAGGTGAGTTTCGCAAAAGCTGCCACTATCACTAATCAAGAGACAGAACACAACAGGCCTTTATCCATATGAACTCACCCATATGTAGGGATGGGTACCGAAACCCGGTGTTAAACATTAAACGGGCCCTGGGGTTCTGTTGTCAAGCCGCCTTCTCAAGTCTGCAGTGTGACCAGTTGATGTAAGATGCTGCTGACGTGTGTCTATGTATTCGGGTTCAAATAAATATGGCTGGGCATAAAAATGCAAGTCTTTACCTTAGACATCCTTAGAACAAAGAATTTTTGTTTACAGCATGTCTCCCTCAGACTAACCGAAGCTCAGGCACACCAGACATACGTCAGCAGCGTCTTACGTCAGGAGCGGCACTGAATGCGGATCCACAACAGAACTGGAAGACAATACAATGCTGAATAAAGTCGTAGTTTTTGTTATTTTTGGACCAAAATGTATTTTCGATGCTTCAAAACATTCAAACTAACCCATTGATGTCACATGGACTACTTTGATGATGTCTTTATTTCCTTTCTGGACAAGGACAGTATACCGTACATACATTTACAATGGAGGAACAGAAAGCTCTCAGGTTAAATCTAAAATATCTTAAACTGTGTTCCGAAAATGAACGGATGTCTTACGGGCTTGGGACGACACGAGGGAGAGTCATTAATTACATAATTTTACCCTAAGGCTTAACCCTTTAAGGCTTAATTCTATAAAGTTTGTCATTTCCGTGAACGAATCGACACTAAATAGAGACTGGCAGTATAAACACACACACCACTGCCACTGCAATTTTTTTTATTACGGACGAAAGTTTTGTTGACAGTGTGCAAGTGTGATTGACATAACGTGAGGTCGATATTTTTATAAACATGACTCACACTTTACAGACTCATATCGTGTGTATGTTCCCTGGTGTCCATTAGATGTCCTCTTTCTGTGACCTTCACGTTTGGAACTACATTCCCCACAATCTTTGTCTGCGCTCATCACTGTTCATTCCACTCAGCTGTTCCCCATCATGATTGTCATGTTCTGTGTGTATAAATACCCTGCCTGTTTAGTGCTTGCCTCAGCAGCCTCTTCCGGAGGCCGATCCAGAGACTGTTCACGTCATGTCTGCCCAGCCAGAGACTGTTCACGTCGTTCAGGAGACTGTTCACGGATCAGGAGATGGCCATTCTCTGGGCCGCGGGGTCACTGGCTGACTATTTGGAGCGTCTGGCTCGGATCCAGGAGAGGCCTTTCAGACCTTTTGTGTCCGTGGTTCCTTAGCCGGAGCCAGTGTCTGCCTGTTCCTGAGCTGAAGCCAGTGTCTGCTGTTCCTGAGCCTGAGCCAGTGTCTGCTGTTCCTGAGCCTGAGCCAGTGTCTGCTGTTCCTGAGCCGGAGCCAGTGTCTGCTGTTCCTGAGCCGGAGCCAGTGTCTGCTGTTCCTGAGCCGGAGCCAGTGTCTGCTGTTCCTGAGCCGGAGCCAGTGTCTGCTGTTCCTGAGCCGGAGCCAGTGTCTGCTGTTCCTGAGCCGGAGCCAGTGTCTGCTGTTCCTGAGCCGGAGCCAGTGTCATCTGTTCCTGAGCTGGAGCCAGTGTCTGCCTGTTCCTGAGCTGGAGCCAGTGTCATCTGTTCCTGAGCTGGAGCCAGTGTCATCTGTTCCTGAGCTGGAGTCAGTGTCATCTGTTCCTGAGCTGGAGTCAGTGTCATCTGTTCCTGAGCCGGAGCCAGTGTCTGCCTGTTCCTGAGCCGGAGCCAGTGTCATCTGTTCCTGAGCTGGAGTCAGTGTCATCTGTTCCTGAGCTGGAGTCAGTGTCATCTGTTCCTGAGCTGGAGTCAGTGTCATCTGTTCCTGAGCTGGAGCCAGTGTCATCTGTTCCTGAGCCGGAGCCAGTGTCTGCTGTTCCTGAGCCGGAGCCAGTGTCATCTGTTCCTGAGCTGGAGCCAGTGTCATCTGTTCCTGAGCTGGAGCCAGTGTCATCTGTTCCTGAGCCGGAGCCAGTGTCTGCTGTTCCTGAGCCGGAGCCAGTGTCATCTGTTCCTGAGCCGGAGCCAGTGTCTGCCTGTTCCTGAGCGGAGCCAGTGTCATCTGTTCCTGAGCTGGAGCCAGTGTCTCTGTTCCTGAGCTGGAGCCAGTGTCATCTGTTCCTGAGCTGGAGCCAGTGTCTGCCTGTTCCTGAGCTGGAGCCAGTGTCATCTGTTCCTGAGCTGGAGCCAGTGTCATCTGTTCCTGAGCTGGAGCCAGTGTCATCTGTTCCTGAGCTGGAGCCAGTGTCATCTGTTCCTGAGCCGGAGCCAGTGTCTGCCTGTTCCTGAGCCGGAGCCAGTGTCATCTGTTCCTGAGCTGGAGCCAGTGTCATCTGTTCCTGAGCTGGAGTCAGTGTCATCTGTTCCTGAGCTGGAGCCAGTGTCATCTGTTCCTGAGCTGGAGCCAGTGTCATCTGTTCCTGAGCCGGAGCCAGTGTCTGCCTGTTCCTGAGCCGGAGCCAGTGTCATCTGTTCCTGAGCTGGAGCCAGTGTCATCTGTTCCTGAGCTGGAGCCAGTGTCATCTGTTCCTGAGCCGGAGCCAGTGTCATCTGTTCCTGAGCTGGAGCCAGTGTCATCTGTTCCTGAGCTGGAGCCAGTGTCATCTGTTCCTGAGCTGGAGCCAGTGTCATCTGTTCCTGAGCTGGAGCCAGTGTCATCTGTTCCTGAGCTGGAGCCAGTGTCATCTGTTCCTGAGCTGGAGCCAGTGTCATCTGTTCCTGAGCTGGAGCCAGTGTCATCTGTTCCTGAGCTGGAGCCAGTGTCATCTGTTCCTGAGCTGGAGCCAGTGTCATCTGTTCCTGAGCTGGAGCCAGTGTCATCTGTTCCTGAGCTGGAGCCAGTGTCATCTGTTCCTGAGCTGGAGCCAGTGTCATCTGTTCCTGAGCTGGAGCCAGTGTCATCTGTTCCTGAGCTGGAGCCAGTGTCATCTGTTCCTGAGCTGGAGCCAGTGTCATCTGTTCCTGAGCTGGAGCCAGTGTCATCTGTTCCTGAGCTGGAGCCAGTGTCATCTGTTCCTGAGCTGGAGCCAGTGTCATCTGTTCCTGAGCTGGAGCCAGTGTCATCTGTTCCTGAGCTGGAGCCAGTGTCATCTGTTCCTGAGCTGGAGCCAGTGTCATCTGTTCCTGAGCTGGAGCCAGTGTCATCTGTTCCTGAGCTGGAGCCAGTGTCATCTGTTCCTGAGCTGGAGCCAGTGTCATCTGTTCCTGAGCTGGAGCCAGTGTCATCTGTTCCTGAGCTGGAGCCAGTGTCATCTGTTCCTGAGCTGGAGCCAGTGTCATCTGTTCCTGAGCTGGAGCCAGTGTCATCTGTTCCTGAGCTGGAGCCAGTGTCATCTGTTCCTGAGCTGGAGCCAGTGTCATCTGTTCCTGAGCTGGAGCCAGTGTCATCTGTTCCTGAGCTGGAGCCAGTGTCATCTGTTCCTGAGCTGGAGCCAGTGTCATCTGTTCCTGAGCTGGAGCCAGTGTCATCTGTTCCTGAGCTGGAGCCAGTGTCATCTGTTCCTGAGCTGGAGCCAGTGTCATCTGTTCCTGAGCTGGAGCCAGTGTCATCTGTTCCTGAGCTGGAGCCAGTGTCATCTGTTCCTGAGCTGGAGCCAGTGTCATCTGTTCCTGAGCTGGAGCCAGTGTCATCTGTTCCTGAGCTGGAGCCAGTGTCATCTGTTCCTGAGCTGGAGCCAGTGTCATCTGTTCCTGAGCTGGAGCCAGTGTCATCTGTTCCTGAGCTGGAGCCAGTGTCATCTGTTCCTGAGCTGGAGCCAGTGTCATCTGTTCCTGAGCTGGAGCCAGTGTCATCTGTTCCTGAGCTGGAGCCAGTGTCATCTGTTCCTGAGCTGGAGCCAGTGTCATCTGTTCCTGAGCTGGAGCCAGTGTCATCTGTTCCTGAGCTGGAGCCAGTGTCATCTGTTCCTGAGCTGGAGCCAGTGTCATCTGTTCCTGAGCTGGAGCCAGTGTCATCTGTTCCTGAGCTGGAGCCAGTGTCATCTGTTCCTGAGCTGGAGCCAGTGTCATCTGTTCCTGAGCTGGAGCCAGTGTCATCTGTTCCTGAGCTGGAGCCAGTGTCATCTGTTCCTGAGCTGGAGCCAGTGTCATCTGTTCCTGAGCTGGAGCCAGTGTCATCTGTTCCTGAGCTGGAGCCAGTGTCATCTGTTCCTGAGCTGGAGCCAGTGTCATCTGTTCCTGAGCTGGAGCCAGTGTCATCTGTTCCTGAGCTGGAGCCAGTGTCATCTGTTCCTGAGCTGGAGCCAGTGTCATCTGTTCCTGAGCTGGAGCCAGTGTCATCTGTTCCTGAGCTGGAGCCAGTGTCATCTGTTCCTGAGCTGGAGCCAGTGTCATCTGTTCCTGAGCTGGAGTCAGTGTCATCTGTTCCTGAGCTGGAGCCAGTGTCATCTGTTCCTGAGCTGGAGCCAGTGTCATCTGTTCCTGAGCTGGAGCCAGTGTCATCTGTTCCTGAGCTGGAGCCAGTGTCATCTGTTCCTGAGCTGGAGCCAGTGTCATCTGTTCCTGAGCTGGAGCCAGTGTCATCTGTTCCTGAGCTGGAGTCAGTGTCATCTGTTCCTGAGCTGGAGCCAGTGTCATCTGTTCCTGAGCTGGAGCCAGTGTCATCTGTTCCTGAGCTGGAGCCAGTGTCATCTGTTCCTGAGCTGGAGTCAGTGTCATCTGTTCCTGAGCTGGAGCCAGTGTCATCTGTTCCTGAGCTGGAGTCAGTGTCATCTGTTCCTGAGCTGGAGCCAGTGTCATCTGTTCCTGAGCTGGAGCCAGTGTCATCTGTTCCTGAGCTGGAGCCAGTGTCATCTGTTCCTGAGCTGGAGCCAGTGTCATCTGTTCCTGAGCTGGAGCCAGTGTCATCTGTTCCTGAGCTGGAGTCAGTGTCATCTGTTCCTGAGCTGGAGCCAGTGTCATCTGTTCCTGAGCTGGAGCCAGTGTCATCTGTTCCTGAGCTGGAGTCAGTGTCATCTGTTCCTGAGCTGGAGTCAGTGTCATCTGTTCCTGAGCTGGAGTCAGTGTCATCTGTTCCTGAGCTGGAGCCAGTGTCATCTGTTCCTGAGCTGGAGTCAGTGTCATCTGTTCCTGAGCTGGAGCCAGTGTCATCTGTTCCTGAGCTGGAGTCAGTGTCATCTGTTCCTGAGCTGGAGCCAGTGTCATCTGTTCCTGAGCTGGAGTCAGTGTCATCTGTTCCTGAGCTGGAGTCAGTGTCATCTGTTCCTGAGCTGGAGCCAGTGTCATCTGTTCCTGAGCTGGAGTCAGTGTCATCTGTTCCTGAGCTGGAGCCAGTGTCATCTGTTCCTGAGCTGGAGTCAGTGTCATCTGTTCCTGAGCTGGAGCCAGTGTCATCTGTTCCTGAGCTGGAGCCAGTGTCATCTGTTCCTGAGCTGGAGCCAGTGTCATCTGTTCCTGAGCTGGAGCCAGTGTCATCTGTTCCTGAGCTGGAGTCAGTGTCATCTGTTCCTGAGCTGGAGCCAGTGTCATCTGTTCCTGAGCTGGAGTCAGTGTCATCTGTTCCTGAGCTGGAGTCAGTGTCATCTGTTCCTGAGCTGGAGTCAGTGTCATCTGTTCCTGAGCTGGAGTCAGTGTCATCTGTTCCTGAGCTGGAGTCAGTGTCATCTGTTCCTGAGCTGGAGTCAGTGTCGTCTGTTCCTGAGCTGGAGTCAGTGTCATCTGTTCCTGAGCCGGAGCCAGTGTCATCTGTTCCTGAGCTGGAGTCAGTGTCATCTGTTCCTGAGCTGGAGTCAGTGTCATCTGTTCCTGAGCTGGAGTCAGTGTCATCTGTTCCTGAGCTGGAGTCAGTGTCGTCTGTTCCTGAGCTGGAGTCAGTGTCGTCTGTTCCTGAGCCGGAGCCAGTGGCGTCTAGGGCTTGGTATTGTCAAGGGCATCCCGATACGCATCACGATACATGGGTCATGATACGATAGATACCACGATACAATACAATACGATACATATTACGATATATTGCAATATTTATATTTTTTTTACCTCCTACAACCGGAAAAAAAGTACTGGAAGACAATACAGTACATTACAATTCATTGCACTCAGCTGTTCGCCATTATGATTGTCATGTTCTGTGTGTATAAATACCCTGCCTGTTTAGTGTTTGTTACGGAGTTATTGTATATTGTCCCCACATTTCCATTGTCTTTGAGCCTGTTTCTAGTATTTGTCTTATGTTTTTGGATTGGGTTTTTGGATTTTGACCTTTGTCTGGACTGGATTGTGAGTACGGATTATCCTAATAAATTTACTGCAATTGAATCTCTCTCTCCTGTGTGTGTGATCGTGACACACAGACCTAATTTCAACGCAAACAATAGGTTTTGTTGCTTTCCACAAACTATGCTGTCAAAAAAAAATTACATTTATTTTTAGCTAATGGCCAAAAGTATTTGAGCAGTTGTATGATGGGAGTTAAATTAATTTGTTTACTCATAAGGTTTGCCTTCAGATAAATGTGAGAAGATGGTTAATACTTGTGTCCTCTCTTCCCCAGGGCCATGCTCAGACCAGCACTCCTGGCATCTCAACACCCAAGATGGTGCTTAAAGGGATACTCCACTTTTTTTTGGTAATATGTTCATTTTACAACTCCCCCAGAGTTAAACTGTTGAGTTTTACCTTTTTTGAATCCATTCAGCCGATCTCCGGTTCTGGCGCTACCACTTTTAGCATAGCTTAGCATACATCATTGAAGTGCACCAGACCATTAGCATTTCTCCCCCAAAAAATGACCAAAGTGTTTCGATATTTTTCCTATTTAAAACTTAACTCTTCTGTCTCCACTTTGGTAATTTTTTTCTGAGAAATGCTAATGGTCTTGTCCTCTTCAATGATTTATGCTAAGCTATGCTAAAAGTGCTACTGCCAGAACCGGAGATCGGCTGAATGGATTCAAAAAAGGTAAAACTCAACAGTTTAACTCTGGAGGAGTTGTAAAATGAGCCTATTTCCAAAAAAAGTGGAGTATCCCTTTAAAGGCTGCAGGGAAGGTTCTCCACATTGTGCTCACTATGGATGGGCAGGTAATCACAGAAGAGAGCGAGGACATCTTGATGGGATTGGGTCTCGTCCTGTGTGTTTTATTTTGTGTTTGGGATCCAGTATCCTAAAGGACTCAAGAAGACACTGACCTTTTTGGAGTGTGTTACATTGAAACTGAAAGATGCAGCCAGACTTCCTGTCACAAAAATTAGACTTTAGGACTCAATAATCTCTTTCTGGATGGCCAGTTCAAGAAAACAAGCACGTTTACACTGATGCATGATGTAAATACATGATGTAAATATATTAAATGGGTTAATATTTATTGTGAATATTCAATTGCATTCTGTTTTAATTTTTTCATGAAATATAATATTCTATTAATTGTAATAAGTCTTAATTAATTTGTACTTTCTGTCTTGTGTTCAAATTTGTACATGACTATATTAAATAAATATTTCAAGAAGAATAATAGGTTGTGTCTGTGTTGTGAAATGGGATTAAAGTAGTAAAGTATAATAATAATAATTACAAACATACATATCTACATACCGAAATCATGTCTAAAAAGGTTCAAAATGGAACCCATGCGGTTCATTAATGCACCTTTAAGGGAAGGTTCCAATTAGAACCTTTTCAAAAAGGTTCAAAAATGAACCTTAAGGTTCCCCCACAGTTGCAATTTCCAGGAACCTCAAAAGGTTCATTTTTGAACCTTTCTTCTTCTTCGTTATAACGGCAGATCTGCTCTTTAAGAGAGGTGACCTCTGCTGACAGAACCAGCACTTCCTCTCGTTTTTCTGAAGCTGATAACTGATTTTCTGATGACTTCTTCTCTAGGGTAGCCATGTTTTCTTTTAACTGGTTGCTTTCTACCTCTAAAACAGATGTTGCTTCTGCACGTTCTGGTAAGTGCAACTTCAATTGACAGGTGGTCTCTTTCCTCATTCACCATCTCCCATTTCTCCTCCAGTTTTTGAAGTAGTATCTCTCAGAAGAAGTTATTAGAGGAGGCAACTACAGCTTCACAGAAAGATGCTGAGCTTCAAAATGAGCTTCACCAACAAGAAAGCCTTAGAGAAAAGGCTCAGGAGCTTGAGACTGCCAAGCGTGAGGAACTTGAGAGAAAAGTAGACAAGGACGATCAGCTGGGCTCTTTAGAGAAAAAGTTGAAGGAGATGGAAGGGCTTTTCCTTCACAGGTGACCTCGACACAGGTGACCTCCAGGACAATTTGTGAACAAATACTTGATTTATTTCTATTGGCCATTTTTGTTTGCCTTCTGTTCACTTAGTTTATAGATTTGAATTTTCTGTTGTACAATGTGTTTAAAATAAAGTATTTTTATCATATATTTTATTTTGTATTATTTTTTTTAAGGGTTTTAAAGCGTCTGTCTTTTTCCGTGTCTGTCCATCTTTCTGTCTATGTTTGTCTTTGTGTGCCTCTTTTCCGCCCGTCTGTCTGTTTCTTTTTTTGTTGGATAAATCGTTTTTAAAGACTATGCAGAAATGAGCTGTTCACATCATTATGATTTTCCTCTAGAGGATCGGGACACCCTACGGTCTTGCACGCCTTAAGCGAGAACGCGCATCGAGGGGCACAAGGGCGCGAGTGCGGATATTGGGGGACATTCTCACACGCTTAACGTTAAAAACACTTAATGTACTGAGACGGCGATATTAAAAGACCAAACTCCGAGTCAGTACACATCATATTAATAAACCATACTATGTATAAAAAAATAAGATGAGTCCAGAATATCAACGCAACGCGATTAATAACACGTTAAGCATTTTCTTCCCATAGAAAACCGTCATGAGAAAACGCTTAACGTGGCTCACTGTACTTGTGGCATGCATGACACATTTACACTTTTGCTTTACTGTTTGTATCAGTTAAATTTATTGCTTGGTTTCTATTGCTTTTTAGTACGGTGGCTGAGAGGGCTCAACACGCTGCAACAGAAGACAACGGATGCAAACAGAAAAAACCCTGTAAAATAAGACCATCTTTATCACATGTGCTAAAACACAACCAAATACAGAAACACACTCCAAATGTCCGACCAACAACGCAAATATCTACTGGACAGTGGTGTTTATTATTATTATTATTTATTGTTTGCGTTGTATTTGCAGCAGTGTGTTGTGAAACTGGTGTCTTGACTTGCTGCTGTTTTTCTTGTTTGCATGTTTTCTTCTGTTGCAGGACTTTGAGGTCTCTTGCCGTTTGCAGTGTGTTTTTGTATTTGGTTGCATGTGTGTTGTCAAACTGATGAAGATGTTCTCTTAATTTGCTGCTGTTTTTTACTGTTTGCATGTTTTCTTCTGTTTCAGTGCGTTGAGATCTCTCGTATTTTCGTTCATTTTTTTAAATGCATGAAACATTTTATGCAACTTTTAATAAATGGGTTGTAGGCTACAGAAGTTTAACATTGCTAGAAATTCAAAATATATTCAAACCAAGTTGTCCCAAATTTGAGGTTATCACAATTAAATTGAGGTTTCTTTATTTTCCTTACTTTGTCTGGTTTATAATTTTTTTGTTCATTTCAAATTTAAATATGAGTAAATAAACTTTAGTTGATTACTACGACAATACGTGCAGTTTCGGAAAAGGAGTGTTTCCATTGGCTACGTAATTTATGATAGCCAATGAGCATAGAGAAGGGAGTAATGCGTCATCAGATATTTAAATGAGCAGTGAACGACCTGCTGCTTCCTTATTAGTTTTGTTAAGTAGTGGTCGAGTGTTTCGGTGTAACAAATGCGGTAAAACATCTCTCATTGATTGATTGATTGATTGATTGATTGATTGATTGATTGATTGATTAAAAAATTTTGCCCACCTGTACACTACTGATTATTTTAAAATTATTTTTTTCTGGCATTCTATAAACATCAGGGACACACCAACCTGTATCTGATCTGTCTGCGCGTGTCTGAATTCGCTTCACATTTAAGGAGGTAAAATGTTTTATAATACCCAACATATTTAACATTTGGAGTTTCATCTTTAATGTTACAAGTGCTGTTTTCAAGTGTGTGTGCCTAAACTAGTTTTGTATCAAAAGAGATCGAGTTTAATTTATCCAGTGTAGGCCTATCTGTTAGGGATGTAACATTTTTGTATGAAGTATATACATGCAAATATTTCTTAAATCTATACATGCACGTGTGTATTTATATATACAAAATAATTATACACATATATTATGTGAACACAAACTTTTATTTTGGATGCGATTAATCGTTTCACAGCCCTAATATTATCTCATGCAATTTACATGTTTACACGCCATGACAAACAGAGGCGAACCAAACTTTCACTGCTCAGGTGAGACGCTTTTATTCCCCCCCCCCCCCCCCTTCCTTTCTGTCTCGTAAACCTGTTTAAAATGAATTTCTTTCTCACACTGGACTCATCAGGTGCTCAACGCCTTCGCTCAGCTGGCGAGAGCCGAGGAGGACGTTACTAAACTCACGTTGGCTCATGAGTCGTCACTGGCTGAGTTGAACGAGGCCGTCACACACAGGGTACAGCATGAATCATGTTGTGTTTCTTTTCTCTGTACTCAACCTGACTGGTGTGTATTAATCTGTATTGTTTTCTTTCTCCTGTTCTCCTCGTTCAGGAGTGTCTGAGTGAGCAAGAGCAGATCCTTCAGGGAAAGATCTCCGTTCTGGAGGATGAACTCCTGAAAGCTCAGTCTCCGGACAGAGGAGAGGTTTTGGGACCCATCATGGAGGTGAGTATGGAGCACTAGGAGTGACGCTTAAAAATAAAAGGAGTCGTTTATCAAATTAATAGTCCAGACATAAAAATGGAAATAAATCCGTTCATAAATGGACAAATCGAAAACATTTAGTTAAACTGTTTAATTAATGCTTTAAACTGTTAAACAATTGTTTTCTGTTATTTAACAACTACATTTTAAAACATGAATCAAATAAGCCGTTTTAAATGTCTATTTATTCGATTTTTCTTTTTATTAAATTGGATACTTTTAAACTTTAATTCATGTTTTAAAATTTTCTTGATTATATAATTTTTTTTAAAACCCATTAAATAAAGTTAAGTATCAATTTAATAAAACAGTTAATTATGTACCTTTCACACTGTTTAACTCGTTTTAAAATCTAGTTAAATACTACGGTGATGCATTGCTGCCACATACATATTATTATTTCCCCTCAATTATGTCAATAACGAGATATTTATGTAATTAAAACGAGATATTTATGTGGTTAAAATGAGATTATGTCGTTAAAACGAGATATGTCAATAAAACGAGAAAATATGTCGTTTTAACGGCATAAGATCTCGTTATGACGACATAATTGAGGGGAAAAAATATGTCTGTGGCAGCAATGCGTCATCGTAAAATATAATGGTTTTATTGATTTTGTTTTGTTTATTTAATTTACATTTTAAAACAAAGTTTTAATCTGTTTTATTTGATGAAACAAAATTAACTGTAAATTTAAGTGACATTCATTTGTTTTATTACATTTAAAATGAATGAACATTTAAAACCTTTAACTCACAATTTTTTAAATCTAGTTCTATAAACCATTAAATAATAATTGATGTACATTTTTTTTAAAGTCCAT